TGTCTTACGGGATCCGATTTGAATGGAAGGGGTGGAGTTAGATACATGGCTCCCACCACTTATGGAAAAGTACTCATGGCCTTTCTCCTCAAATAGATGTTTCCAAAAGTAAGAGTCAAATCGCAGAAATTAATGTACTGTCTGTTTCCATGTATGCTAAACAAGGTATTTGTTTATGGAAATAGTCACTACGAACACCCAGTGTCGAGCATTTTAACAAATCGCACACTAGAACCGTGAGCATTTAGATCAAAGGAGTATTACCAAATGGATGTTAAAATAATTGAATTTGACAATGGTGCACTAAAAGCCAAAACTCAGTGACTTACCAATAACAGAAACATGAAAAAGCTTTATAATTATTATAATAAAAAATAGCTGACGCCTATGTATTGGTCTTTGTGGCAGGTTCGATCATCGAGTGACCATGGCAACCATGTTCTACGGCTCGGTTCCCTTCCTGAAAATGCACAATGTGCTGTGCAGTGGTTTGAAGAAAAATGGAACAGTTAGTGATCCTAACATCATGTTTTAATATACAACTATTTCAAAAACGTTGTCGGTCGAAAACCTGAAATCTGAGACCGAAGTGAATTATGGATCGAAAGCTGGTAATTGTTTTGTGATTTTAAGTTCGCAACAAGTTATATAACATTATAAATATACCTACTTTGAGCGATGACCTGCGCTAACGAGTTGTCCGACCAAGTGTATTTTTTTTTTTTTTTTACGGGAAAAGTCTTAGTCCCCACAATTCTATTCGCGGTATCAGATTTCAGATCTCCGACCGACAATGTTTTTTGAAATTATAAAATCAATCAATTTATTCATCCATCCAGCATTCTATCCATTCATATCCACCCACCCGTCTGTCTGTCCATCCGTCCCTCCGCCCGTCTATTCAATCAATCAAATATATATCCAATATCATCCCAACAAACGTTATTAATCATTTATTAGCTTTAAAACCAACATACAATTATAAGCTAACATAAAGTTAAATCGATCTTTCATTAGGTTGGCAACGTAATCAATTCCTTCAGCTGTTTTTACGTGTGTTAGAGCCTGCTGAATTGTATCTATTGTCTGGACTTCTGGCGGTAAGAATCTTTTCAGCTTTTTGTCTTAAAGACAGGTCGCGTATGTTCAATGGAACACCACTTCCCATGTACACTTAGATGGTCCAACCTCCCTCCAGTCTACTAAACTAACACTGTTAGGGACTTTTTATTTTTATTTTTATAGATTATTATGCTTTTATTCATTTTTAGACTTATTGTTATGCGCATTTGAAAATTCCTTTTATTGATATTTTCGCACTATGAATTGATAAATTAAATTATTACTCTTTTGGAAAACCGTTCAAGGTATTTGGGAGGGGAGGTCGATTTGTCTAATGCTGTGTGTGTTAATGCTTCTAGGTTCGTCAGTATAGGGACTTTATCTCCTTATTACCAGAGCATTTGGCCTTAAGAATCCTTTCCTTGTTGTCTTCTCAAGATCTCCTTATCGCTGCACAGGTGAATAGAAGAAAATACCATAATCAAAGGCGACAGCTTTATTTATGTAATCTTGAATTGAACTTGAAAACCGTCTAAAAGTGATGTGCCAACGCTTGTAGCCTGCAAAGCAGAYGTTCTTGTTGGTTTGGGGAAAAAATAGGGTTTTGGGGAAATTTGGAAATTTGGATCGAGCGAGAATTGTTTCTTCCTCAAACCCATCACAAGAACGCCTGCTCTGCAGGCTACACCGCGTGCTGAAATATGTGTATACGGAAATATTGCACTGGAGGTTTTGCCAGTTGACTTTATTCTCGATGCAGTGAAAAATATTCATTACTAAGTCGGTTATACTTTCTGTTTCCCATAAGGTCAGTAAAACATGGCGTCGCATGGCGTCCAGAGATGAACTATGGCAAGCAAAATGCAAGAGAATACATGTTGGTAAGAAATAATAATCTATTTTGATTATTTCTTTCTTTTTCTTTCATTCTTTCTCTTTTTTTGTTTTTGTTCTTGCTGTTGTTATTTTTTTGGTTATTCATACGCCTAAGCCAAAGAGGCAAGAAAGAGCGATAGACATGCTTTTTACATGCAAACAATACATACGACAATATAACCAGGGCTAAAAACGGCTTTGATTTCATCGACAATATAGTTCCCGCGGCACTGTATTAACACTGAATTCAATAAGTTCTCTATACAAAATGATGTAAGATCAAGTTGGTATAGGTGGTGTATATCCCTTCCATTGAGACGGATAGACAAAAGATGTGGCGTCACATAACCGGTCATTATTTTTAATTTTTTTATTTTATGACGGTCACAAGTATTAATTTTTCCGGGCAAAACATTACACGCAGTGGTTTAGGTACATTCAACTTCTTTCTTACGAACAGGAATTCCTCTTCGAGTGYCAACCATCTGGAAAGATATATTTAAAGACAACTTGAATCTAAAACGAAACTGGGCCAACGGAGAGTGCAGAGTGACAGACATGACAGGACACTCGAAGAAGTGAGTGGGTTATGTGTGGTTCTTTGTGGCAGGGTTATCGGCCTGAAGCGAGGGGTTATGTGATATATATTTTATAACACACAAATTCAACATAACGTTTTTTATATAAATATTTCAGATATTGAATAACTGAACATGTGTTCGTATTATTTATTAAACTTAAGACTTTGGTTTTCTGGAAATAACAAGTGAATTAAAAACTATTTTAGGCTTCTGTAAAATGCAATAGAATTCTGATTTGCTTAATAGCGGAATATCAAAATATCCTGGCCTAGGTTTTGTTTGTTTGTTTTGTTTTGTTTTGGTTATTTTATTTTTTTATATATGTTACTTTTCTTTGTTTTGCTTTGTTTACTTTTTTAAAGAATAATGAAATAACAAGTGAATTAAAAACTATTTTAGGCTTC